TACATTCGTCACCTTTTTATCGGCCAAGTTTGGTCTTCCAAAATGTTCAAATCAAATCGAGAAAAATAATAAATACACGTGCGTATGTAGATTGCATTGTAGATGTAAATTTAGTCATCAATCGATGGCCTTAAAATGAGCTCGAGAATAAAATGACTTCTATAGTGTTGAATCCTAGAGTGACATATTAGGCCCATCTTTTATTTAGGTTGTTATAAATTTTCATAAACACCTATCTCTATTAATGTTCTTCGTTTAATAATTACTATAAAATAAAGAAGCCATCTGTTTTTTCTTTTTTTCTTCATTTAAGGGAGATTCTTAGCGCATTCCCTAAAAATGGTATTGGTTACGTCACGTTTTTTTTCCACTTACTAAATTAGTAGTATTGTTGCTACTCCATCATCAGCCACAGTTAGATTTAGCTTCTTTTTTAGAGACAGACAAAATTTCCCAGTTCAACTCTGAAGCCAAACGTTTACTAACAAAACTACTATGGGAACCAGGATCTAGTACACCTTTCAGTAGTATATAATCACCTATGATTGCATCAGCACGTGCTGCACCTGTACCAATAGTTTCTTGATCTTCAAGTGCTTGTCTTATCCTAGATGTTGCACTTGATAACAAAATTTCATTCATTACACCACTAGCGTTTGGTTTATTAGAAACGCATTTTAAACTCTTCTTCTGTTTAGTTAGCTGCGCATTACCAGTCCTTAATCCTTTGAGAGGCTGCAATTGTTCCAAGAAGCAATCACGTTATATATACGAGGTATATATTGTGTATATACCATAAGAGCAATCGCGGTAGGAATGTTGATCCTTATTTCCTTTACAAATCTTGCACTTTGCGGAACATTGATTAGCAAATTAAACCAGTCGTATTCTTTTCACACAAGATCAATAGTTAACTTGTCAAACTTTGCTATGGTATCTTGCATTTTCGTTTCCATATTAGAATCATGTTTCTGTACCTTAGTATTCGTATTGTGGGAACCAAGATGCTTTTTTCGTTCACGTTATTACTAGTGTTTGACTTATGTGATTTGCGCGTTTCAGATTTCTCCTCTTCTTCCTTTAGTGACTCCAATAAAGAATCTTCATATTCAACACCAGTGTTGTATACTTCACCTTTTATCATGGGACGAGCTTCCTGTGTTGCTTTAGGCTTTTGTTTCAATACTGATTATTTGAATGACAGAGAGTAGAGTCATTCGATTAGACTACCTTTCAGCAAAACATCACTGGGATTGGGCCATTCAGGGTTAAGGTTTTTGTTTGTTTTGTATTTAGTAATCAGTTGATCAAAACAGTCAAAACATGCAAGTATGCTCTCCTTTTCTGTTTCCTAATTGAACTAATTTCAGCCATTACCTGAGAAAGTTTGACTTGAGTTAACTTGAGCCAATCTGCAAAATTTTATTTGGAATCATCCCAATCGTCAAAATCTTGCAATTCAAGCCAATCTTCTGGGCCTTTATGACTCAAATGGCCTTTTACAATAGCCAATTTAGCTCTGTCGTTAACCACATTTATAGTCTCAATAGTTTCTTCAAAAAGCTTCAGCTAGTGTTTAGGGTCTTTTCCTTTTTTTGAATGAAGGAACCACAGTAATATGACTTGCTAATAAACGTTAATTTCTTGCCTTTATCAGGTATTTTTGTAAATAATTTGATGAAGGTTCCAATGAATCTACCAAATTAGAAAAACGACTTCTGTATGACCAATTAAGTAAAAGCTGGAGTTGGGATTATTGAAGTATTGATTAGAACAACTGAAAATTATAAGAGAAGCATAATTCAACGGGTCTCTACATAACATCTTAAGCCCAAGACAAGGAAGAGCCTATGTTACAAACAGGCCATTTTATATGGAAACTGTAGTATTGCATGAATTAATCACAGCTAATGGAGACTGGTTATGGCGCGTTATATAAGAATAACATGCTTTGTGATCAAACCTACTTGTATTTTTCTTTCTTGTAAATCTATAGCAATTCCATATGAATAAGAGGAAATGTTTATAAGATAAATAAGACAATCATTTTATCTAAAAGTGACAACTTTTATCTGCGTAGTCATACAGCAATACTGTTACACATTCATGTGGCCGCCCAAAAAGAGAATGGATATACGTTCTCTTCATTTATAAAAGAGACATACGCTCTTTTCCCTTTATCTACTCCTTTAAGCATGATCGATAATATTGATTTACAAAGCTACATAATACCAGATGCAGTTGAGCTAAAAGTATCATATTTTTTTAGAAAAGTGTCACTGCCTCTGTGGTCTTGCAGAGAATATGTCAATTATTACAAATCTCTCAACCCACATTCTGAATTTTCTACCTTATCTAATGATTTCAAGAGTGATATTGAAAAGATAAAATCATGTAAAGAAATCCCTATCAGCGTGAAGCGTATTGTTGGTGAAATAAAGGCAAAAAAAAAAGAGAAAGTAAGCATCAAACTTAGTTGCTTTTCTGAAACCTAACGACACCGTAATACTGGTACAAATAATAGAAAGATAAGCAAAAAACAATGGACAATATCTACATGAATAAATCAACATTGATGGTGAACTCAAACAATATATGCTACTTTAATAATCAATCAAGTAATTCAGAAGAATCCAAGATAGAAGATTCAGAGCTCTCTCGAACATCTTCAGTTGCCATTTCGCCACGCAATATACCTTCACAGACGCAAGCATTCAAGAGGACCTATGAAGGAAATATAGTTCCAGGCGGTAATTTAGACTGCTTGTACCCATATATGTATCAACTGGTAAGTAAACGCTTGATCAATAGATTCTTATATTAATTTTCACTAATATAGTTCAAAGGCCAGAAGGTTGATTTATCAGACCTTGATTCAAAAATTGAAACAGGCAATTCGTTAATATCCTGCATAAAGACAGTGTGTATAAGAATGATGAAAAAATTCGAGAGTCTGGGAAAGGAAGATAGGTCTTATCTTAAGTTAGTTAAAGGCATGAGTTTTTGTACATTTAGAATAGCTAATTGCTTTTAGTGTGCTTCTGTCTGGTTGCATCAATACTCTTACCGTTAGTCATCAGCTAACTTTGATAAATATGATGGGTGTAGAAAGACTGCAAAATATCTATGAATCAGAACGAGAGCTGATAGATAAGAATGACGGATGGTATTTGTTAAAGGATAATATGAAGCAGGTATGTTATAGTATAAACCTTTTGTTTCTTGCATTTCAACACTCTTCAATAACGCTAAAATGAAACAGGTCTTGAAAGATGGCGGAATGACAAAACTAAGATGCTTCGTAACTGAGGAGAGGCTCAAAATTTATCAAAGAGAGACAAACCATGATGAAAATTTGAAGCTCAAGATTTTAGATGTTTTTGAGTATATGTAAGTAAAGCAAAAATAAATAAATCTATAGCCTTTATCTGATTATTATTATCAAGTTTCAATATGGTTCAATATAAGGATTGGAGACGTTCTAATCTTAGCGAAGAGGATTATTGCTTATATTGGAAAACGGTTTTTGGTATAATGTTTCGTGGAAAAGACGTGTTAATGAGACAGTAAGCCTATAATGAGTTTGTTACTTCAATAGTATTTTGATGCGAAACTTACAAAAATAGAGGAGAACAATGTTCGTTAGCATCTAAGTTTCAGAGACAGGCCAATGAAGTTGAATTTGGGGATATCAGTAGCAATGTGATGGGCCGTCGTCTGGATTTCTCTTTTGGGTGCACCTTATACGACGATAAGAACAAGCCTTCGATGATTGATATATGTTCAGCAGAGATAAAACCAGAGAATACCGGTAACGATATAAAGAATATCCAACTTAACAAGAACATCCGGGTAAACAAAGCGATACTTTATTTGTTATTACAGCACATGCCCAATAATCAAAAAGAACGTATATACACAATTGGCATCGATATGGCTGGTTTACAAGGTTATTTCTATAAAGTAGTTCAATACGAAGATGCTGTTGTAGCCTTGAAACTTGCAGAAGATGATATATTTTTACCAAGTGATGAAGATGATTTACATGAATTTCTCTCTTGCGACGCAATGGATCAACTTATTTTTTTTGTGAATCATATCTGTTCTTTGAAGTCAAGCGTGAAAAAAGCATCTAAGGTATTCAAAAGAACAAGAGCTACCGCGAATACAACAAGTGGTATCCAATCTCGTATGCAGTCACCACCACGAAGAAATCCTCCGTTTCCCTCTTCAACCTTCTTCACACCAAAGCGCGTGAACACAAAGATGGATTACGATTTGATCTCAGAATAAAAAGGAATAAATATATCTTCGACGTTTTTCCGTACCTTTTTTTCAGTTAACAGATAAAAATGATAAAATGAGGACTCACTTTTTCTTAAAAGATTGCCAAAAGAAAGATTGTTTACAAAAAAGGGGATCAAGAAGAATCCGCACATTGAGAAAAGATAATCGCCCTTTGTCACTGCTTCCGCTGCATATAAATATCATATAATTAACACTGTGCCTCTTTCTAGTTAACGATGTTCACATCACCCATATCAATCTTATATATTACTTGCATATTTTCCATCAATTCATAGTGTTTATGTATGCTAATATTCCCTATTCATATCGTATAATTCGTTTCCATGTCTACCCAGTTGAACAATCCACAACTCTATTGTTCTTCTATTTCCAATACCGTATCCATGGTTCAATATTCATCAACCTATAGAATACTACCTTAGCTAACACAAATAATCAGTATTCTATGTGTCCTCATATCTACTGATGTTAAAAGGTGAACTTGTTGTCATAAATGTTGATACATTGCTAGCTTGCAAATAGAGGTATTAATATTTCATCACTCACTTGCATAAAATCATTCATATCTTTGTCATAAAACAATGTCTGCTTAAGGGCTGATATTGAGATAGACGATTGTAATCAGTATGAATAGAGTGAATTCATACACTATAAGATTACGTGTACACACTTACAGTGATAAGTCAAATTAAATAGAATCTCTCTTTTGAATATGAATCATTACTTCTTTGTATAAAAGGATATACTTCTTTAAAAGGTGATCCTTCTCACGGTAAAAGCAGTAACATAACCCAGATCATGAAATGAACAATAAGATCAGTGTCAGGAACGAATTAAAAGTTTTCTTTATGAATTCAGGAACCGTTAGTCAATCACATCCTCAATAATTATAATCCACGCTTAGAATAGTGACTTACCAGCCATTTGATAGCAGCTATAAATAGTAGATCCCTTATTTAATTGTATGTTCTTTCTGTCTTTATCTCAGAATAAAGATTAGTCTCAAAGAGTTTCTTTTGTCTTTGTCTTGTGTCGTCTAAACCATTACACAACGAATTATTCACACATATTCGTGAATTTTATTTTTTAGTTTTCTTTATAAAGGAAAGGAAGAGGAAGGATCATTTTGTGTACTTAAAGTTAATTGCTCGTCTTTTCTCATAGTTTACAACACAAAACTAAAGCTAGTTGCATTATGTCTGCTCGTTTTAAGACACATGTCGTTGCTGTCAAAGATCTCATTTTAAAAAATGACCGTGATTACACCATGTCTACATTAATCAACAACTACCAGCACATTTTACCCTTTCAGTCACTACCTGTTTCTTTTCTCTCTATCTTTTTAACATTGCACAAGAAGCACTATTCCTTCCATCATAATAGATATGTTTATTGAATCTATCCTTGTGACAACATTTTCTATTCATTTACATCTTTTTGTAATTCCAATAGTTACAACATCTGTTGTAGTCCCAAACATACAAGTAGTTTAAGCAATATCTCACTCTTTTTTTCTTTTATTCACTCACTAGTAGCTCTTACCTTTAAGATTTACAATATCCCTTTTCCAACAATCCAACCCATGCCTTTAATTCATACATAAACATTTCTTTCTACTTTCAGCAATAACTTCCATACTCTAACATAAGCTAATACAACCTTATTAGTAAAAGATTGAACAGTAAATAAGCTCCCAACGGATAAGGAATCATACCTCAATTGTGTCAATTCAGTCATTCACATAATTTCCTTCATCTTTCTTTTCTTTTTTGATTTTCCATACATTTCAAGCTAAAACATTACTCTTTACTATTCTTCATTGCTTGTTGATATGACCAACGCTATTTCCAGTTCTGTAGTTGGCTTCAACCTTTCATCTCACCTTTTGAATTGATTCTTGCTTTACCTGATTTATTTGTCGGAAGAAAAAGGGAAAAAAAAAGTGTTCGTCTATCTCGTGAGATATAAAATATTCTCTCTTGTGTGTGAATATTGTTGTCCTTTGAATACATTAAACAACACATTCCCTTCATTACCCTTCCCATGGAACACAATTTGTTCCAACCCATCCAATAACAATAATCATTAACCACTTCCAAGTAATTGAGCCTTCCATTTCTCAATTGTTCTTCACTCTCCTTAATCATTTGCTGCTGTTGCTTAATTGTTACAGTCCTCATCATATTTTTTTGGTGAAAAATAATTTCTTTCTGGAAAGAAGGCAGAAAATAGGACTTTGAACATTTTTTCTTTCCAAAATATTTAAAAAATTCAAAGTTCACAAAAACCGCGAATTACTCACGAATGAAAATGGTCAGAATCACTTGAAATCAGAAATGTGTAAAATGAACCAGAAAAACTACAGAATCAGCCTGTAAAAAAAAAAAAAATCAAATAGTGACATACTGTCAACTAATTGCACATCCCTCTTCATAATTGCACTCTTTTAGACATCACCATTTTCATGAGGGCATTGTTACTCAAAAACGAATAATTCTGATTGGCCCGTTTGACCACCTCCCGCTCAACCGTGAATTATTCACGGTTCTTCTCGCCATAGTGGCGCGGTGTTGAATACGAAGTATCAAATATAAAAGAATAAAAACTAGAATTAACCAGACTAAAAAGATATATATCGATCGACTTTATTAAGGGCTAGTATTTATACTAAATGCGAGACACTCTTCAACTGATATCGTTGTTGTATTCAGCTTTGTTATTGTAAAAAGGCGGCTAAGCCGATGACTTGCGAATTAGATTATTAAGTTTGTGTGAGTTTACTTGGGTAGAGAATCTATAGCTGCTGTTTATATTATTGTCGTCACTGACACTATTTATGCTTATACTATGATTGCTATACTAGTAGCTACTGTAATTGTTATTATTACTATAAATTATTCTTATCAGATGCGATAGAAGAATGTAAAGTAGAACGTATGCTCTACTGTAAGTTTATACTTGAGTTATTATAATGATTATCTCATCAAACACGTCAACGCTATCGGGGAGCTTGAGCGCCTTGATCGCCATTGTCCTAGCTTCACTTTTGGTGGACTTACTCGTAGCGTATGAGTAAACCGCGAGTTGTCGGATGTCTTCCATGATGTGAAAAAACTGTTCATCACTTCCTCCTGGTTTCAGGAATTGTTGACATTCTTCGTAAAGGCCAGTTGCTGCTCTTCCCACGATCATGAGTCGATCAGCTTCCTTGTATTCTGCTTTTGCGCTTTGGAGGGTACCCACAGTTTTCCTTTTAAGCTCTCTGTGGAACTCTTTGTTGAAGATCTCACTGTTGGTCTATTCACTGCCTTCGTACTTTGGAAGGTTCTTAACAAATTCTTTGATGCTCTTCTGTAGATTGATGGATGAGCTGTTCTCCAGCTCTTCCAAGATTTCGTTTGGAAGGTTTGTGGGCCTTCACTTGTTCTGTCAAGGTTGAATTTTCTTGACGTTTTCTCAATGATTTGTTCGACTTGTTCTCTTGTAAACAATTGTTCAGATTGATTATTGGATATATTATTACCACGGTGCGCGGTGCGAAAAAGATCTAAAGAAATAGGAACCGAAATTTTTTTTATAATATGTTTGTCGTATTATCCTTCCTTTACTAACTAATCTTCGTGTGAGATTAGTCCATTACTATACTGTTTACAGTCATTCTACATTTAGCATTACGTACCTCTATTAATTTAATTTGTAACATGTCGGATTGTAAATTATTATTTTATATACCAAGCTTTACTTTGTATTAATGAGCTCCTCATCTTGTTTTCTCACCAATAAAGAGGTTCAAGAGTCTCATCGACATATAGTCTTTTTATCCTTGTTATAACTCAGGTATATTATAAGTACTTATTAACCGATAAATATCACATTTTTTTCGATGAATTCCAACATCGAACCACAACATGACCCACCTCCGGCATCGTCACCAGATGATGTTATAAATAAGTTGGATGAAATTCACCTGGATTCCAACAACACAATAGAAGATGAGGATACTCCTATGACAGAAGCATCCGATAAGGTCACTGAGGCCTCGGTCGACATTCCCATGTCGCCTGCAGAAAACCTCAAGCACCTTCAAGAACTTAAGGCTCGTCTCTGCGTTGTTGCAAAGAACTTGAACACTCAGTTTGAACAAGCCCTTCTTGACAATGACGATGTTGCTCTTGAGACCAGCTCAAAAAAGCTGTCCTCTGTTGAAGAGCGCATCAGAAGTCTTACGTCTCTGATTGAATCTGAGTCTAAGCTTATTCAGGAGCCAACAACCACCAACCCAGCTGTCTCTTACAACATCAACAACAGGTATATTCCCAGTAAGAAGCTGCCTAAGTTCAACGTTGATCCTACCGCCAGTGCATTATATCAACTTACTCATCGTGACGGTAAAAATAAGAATAGTTCTTCTAATGAGCCATCTTTGGAAATGTTCTTGAGAGAGTTCGAAAGACTCTTTAGGGATTATAATGTTTCTATTGATGAGAATTGGTTAACTCACTTGCAAGTCTGCTTTGAAAAATCAGACAGTGTCCTTAACCATGATTGGTTCGTCCGCTATCTCAAGCGGCCGATCGTTGAATATAATGAAAAGAGAACCTGGGAGCAGGCTAAGAACCTTTTAACACAAAAGTTTGACTTAGCTTCTCAAACGTCTCAGCTTGCTTGGACAAAACACCTTCTCAATTTCAAACAACCAGCCTCTGAAACCTTAACAGCGGCTATCCACCGTTTTCGTCTTTTTGCTACAGGTGCCAAGTTTAACTCTTCCCGTCCTGATCCTATTTTGATTACATTGTTTGTTAGCAGATTATTTACTTCAAAATTACAAGACAAAATCCTTGCAATTATTGAAAAATATAACAAGAAAAAGCTTACCACTGCTACTAATACTACTACTGAAAGCATCTATGCTCCTATCAACGAACCCATGCCATACGATATGTCCTGGGACGAATTTGAAGCCATTTTGATGAAGAATATTGCAGCTTTAGAAGATGAATTATTTAACATTCAAAAAGACCATTATGCTGATCTCGACAAAAAAAAAAACGAGTCCAGCTCCTCAAAAAAGCGCAAGTATTCTGTTGACCACCCTGTTACTTTTCCAGCAAGTACCAGTTACAGCCAAGCTGCTCAACGTGGTAAAAACAACAACAACAACAACAAAAATAGCAGCAGTAACAGCAACAGCAGTAA